ATATTCTAGTTCTAAATAATTTTTTGATATAAATATAGTTATATATAGTTATTATTATTGAAGCTACATTAATGAAGATACAGTTATAAATATAAATCAATATATTTGTAACGTAATACATATTATTTTCCATTTAAATATGATATTCATATTATTAATCTTATAAATAATTATATGATATACAATATTTGATGAATTTGAAAATATGTATGAGTGTTAGAAATACTAAATAGTAAAAATTGTAACAAGTAATGAATTAATAGCGTTTATTTGATTATATGCACGACAGCACTGTATCTACATATAGCGATACGTGGGGGTGGCGCGTGGGCACTAGGGGCCGAAATTCAACAGCAAATTTAACGGGTTAAAAAAACAGAAGCGGGTTTTAAAAAAAATACTACATTAAAGTATAAGTCTCGAGGATCATTTTGCGCTTTTGAAAATTCCAAAAGCTTTGGTAGGAGCTGAGATATGAATTTTTAAAGTTGGCAACTTTTAGCCATTTTTCGACATTAAATCGCCCCTAGCTCGAAAAGGAAGCGTTATACGAAAAAATGTCAAGAGACAAGAAGTGTTTATTTTTGCCCAATTTACCTCAGAAAATTGTTTGCAAAGTGTTTTTTTGTAATATTTTTATTTTGCAACTTTTTTGTTAATAACAAATTACCTGCCACTCGGACACAAAGATGTTACTTAGGTTTTTTTTCCCAATAACTCAATGCATCGATTACAAAAGGTGTCATCCGGGCCTCTCCTCGTGGTCGGTGACCTTGATTTTCTAAGCATCTTTTCAGGGGTGGACCGTTCGTCTATAACATAGTTTCCTTGTTATGGTTATTATTTAGGTATTTTGTATTGTAATAAATCATTGCTACAAAAACCGAGTCATCCCAGCTTTAATTTTTAACAGGTAGTAACGAATAAACTGTCAAAATTAATAGAAACAAGAGATTATCTAAATAAAGCCAGAGCCTACTGGACCATTTTAAGAAATTCAATAATTTCATCTAACGAATTACACAAAATCGTTTTTTATTTTTTTTCTCGATAACCGTCGTAGATACGAAAAAATCATGAGATCAAAAAGTTTCTCAACAAAACATCAATTTCAATTTTGATTTTAGAATCTACCAGCGGCGCACCGCACAAAAGTTCAGGGAAAAAAGGGAAGCATAACCCCCGAAAAAATATCACTGTAGAATATCACGATCATTTGTCATGTCCAATGATGTAAGCCCTACAGCGTAACCTATATTTCAAATTTGAGCTAAATATCCCAAAAACTGTAGGAGCTATAGAGAAAAAACTAAAAAGTCATAAAATTTCAACATCCTGTAGATCGGTAAAGAAGCGTTTGCGGACCAATGTTTATATGAATTTTTAGTCATGAAATAAGCCAAAGAATTACCTCCTCCCTTATGTATGTACATGATATTTAGGAACACCCTGTGTAATAGTTATATTTTGAAGTGTTATCACCAAACATTTCCTTCACGTCGAGAAACCGCTCTGCCGAAAATGTAGGTCACCCGTAAAACGGTCACAGGGGACCCGAATCATTTTCACTCCGTAAGAGCCGCCATCCAGTACCTCTCAGTTCCGTTACAGCTGCTGTTGCTGTTGAGATGGTTCGAGGAGGGCGGATTAGTGCCGGCCGTCGATCCGGGCGCCGTCCTCCAGGAGCCGAGCAGCGGCGCCTCCCCTGAACTGGCCAAGGCGACGCTGGTGGGAAGCTTCAGCCGGCCTCGCAGGTCCTTCCGCCTGGCCTTCCGCGACAAGTCCAGTTCGCTAGCGGCCGAGCTGACGTTCGCCGCCCGGTTGATGTAGGCGATGCTGTCGCGCGACGTCNGAGATCAAAAAGTTTCTCAACAAAACATCAATTTCAATTTTGATTTTAGAATCTACCAGCGGCGCACCGCACAAAAGTTCAGGGAAAAAAGGGGAGCATAACCCCCGAAAAAATATCACTGTAGAATATCACGATCATTTGTCATGTCCAATGATGTAAGCCCTACAGCGTAATCTATATTTCAAATTTGAGCTAAATATCCCAAAAACTATAAGAGCTATAGAGAAAAAACTAAAAAGTCATAAAATTTCAACATCCTGTAGATCGATAACAAAGCGTTTGCGGACCAATGTTTATATGAATTTTTAGTCATGAAATAAGCCAAAGAATTACCTCCTCCCTTATGTATATAAAATCCTAATTAACCCCTAATGGATAAGCAGAATGAAAATATTATTAAGACCGATAATGCAATTAGAAAAATGTATTTGTACATGATATTTAGGAACACCCTGTGTATTAGTTATATCACAAAACATTTCCTTCACGTTGAGAAACCGCTCTGCCTAAAATGTAGGTCACCCGTAAAACGGTCACAGGGGACCCGAATCATTTTCACTCCGTAAGAGCCGCCATCCAGTACCTCTCAGTTCCGTTACAGCTGCTGTTGCTGTTGAGATGGTTCGAGGAGGGCGGATTAGTGCCGGCCGTCGATCCGGGCGCCGTCCTCCAGGAGCCGAGCAGCGGCGCCTCCCCTGAACTGGCCAAGGCGACGCTGGTGGGAAGCTTCAGCCGGCCTCGCAGGTCCTTCCGCCTGGCCTTCCGCGACAAGTCCAGTTCGCTAGCGGCCGAGCTGACGTTCGCCGCCCGGTTGATGTAGGCGATGCTGTCGCGCGACGTCGAGTAGTAGCCTCCTTCTTGTTGCTGGTAGCCCTGCGATTGACGGGACTTTGACATCCCTAGTTTACAGCCCACCAGATCTGGAAATGAAAGTGGAAACCGATGAGTGGAGCATGGAAAGTGATGCACATGATAAAGAGCGGCACCGCATAAAAACTAATTTCATCTGGCGAGATACGCAATTATGAGAGAGTGCGCACACTATACATAAAAAGTTAAAGGGTAGAGTGTTGGGAATTATAGCACAATCGGAAGAGAAAGAAAAAATGGGTAAAGCTCTTGACACTTTTAAATGCAATAAAAATGCATTTACTTATTCATTATTTTAGTATTTATTAGTTCTTTGCTTTAAGCATTTAAAATTTTTCAAAATTTGTAATGCAGCCTCTTACTTTTTGTATATAACGTTTTCTCTTTGAATTCGGATGTACATTTTGTCGTGGGCCAAATTTGATGAATCGTTTAAGAGTTCAGTTTTGCTAGTTTTCTATGATGTCTCATAACTTTTTTGTTTGTGAAAATATTTATTTTGAACACCCAAAATTATTTTTTTGTAAATCAATTGTTTCTTGATACGTCATTGTTTGTTCTTAGATACATAAAATACATCAATGACACACTTAAGTACCTAATTGTTGAATAACTAAAGAAGTAATTTTTGGCGTTAATCCATGAAATAAATTTTTTCTGTAAATATCTTTTAAAATTAAATTTTACGCAGATTACAAAAACTGAAAATATATGGGTGTTCCATTTTGGAAAATATAAGTTTTTGTTATAATTGACAAATCGGAAATTATAGAGATATTACGTACGCCGCTGGATTCTACACACTTTTTTTTAATTCTGTTTACAAAAATCACATATTTTCACAAACAAAAAAGTTATATGACATCATAGAAAACAAACTAGCAAAATGTAAAAATACCCTAATCTCTTAAACGATTCATGATATAGAAATGTAGTTTTCGTCATTGAACTTTTTTCGCAATCGAGCCCGTAATTTTTACTGCTTTTTTTCGAGAAACTGGAGAAAGTATAAAAATTTGGCCCCCCTGGTACAAGTTTTTTAGCCACATTTTTTAGTTTATTTAATGTACAATTATTTATTTAACACATTTAAAATAATGTATAAAATTTTTTATGTGGATTCTTTTTTTTGTGAGTGTACAACACACTCATATGAGTGTCGAAATGGAATGAACTCGACGATTTTCCTCTATACTTTGCCACTGCGCATCCGTCCTTCGCCGCGCGGTCGAAATTGTTGAACTGTTCATACGTTTCAACATATCCGAACAATCAGTGATAAAAAATATTGTCAATCGGTGTATACGAGTACATTGCGAAATATTCGAATTTTGTGGAAAATTAATAAGGAAGGTATTTCCAATTTCCACAACCTGTACCATTTCCCGTAATATGTTTTCGGGGTATTACTACGGAGTGTAATCCTGGCTATGAAAAAAGTATGTGAAATCATTTTTGTTGAAAGACTTAAGCATATGTAAAGGACACTAACTTCTAGAAAACGTGGCAAAATATACAGGGTGTGGCGTGTATAATCTATAAAAATTAAACTATGTAATGTAATAGAAAAGTCTTATACGAAAAAATTCTATCTTCGCGTTTTTTTTTTGTAAATTAAAGTTCATTTATTCAACGAAAATGAAGGTCGACCCTGTGCTATTTATTAAAAACTTTGGAAATGTTTTTATGCGACGCGAGATGCAATCTTGTTATTTAAGTCGGTATAATGTAATACTAACAATACTAAATAAAGGTTAGGATACATTGTCAAAAAATTTGAGCAGTCAACTGATTTTGTATTTGTATTGAATTCATTATTCACTTAACTATTAATTACGCATCGTCATCGACCCATCAGTGTTAAAAAGTGAAAGATTCCAGACAAAAGTTTTTATTTTGGAATTCCACGATAGTGACACTGTAATTTTTATAAAGTAAAAAATAAGAATAGCGTGCCGATTACATTAAAAACGAGATTCTTATTTCTTACTTTGCTTAATTTTTTAGTTTGTACACAAACTAGTTTTACAATGTACCGAGAAAACAATGCATTTACCATTTCCGAACGTGTCGATGTCGATATGGTGTTAGTGTATGGTGCAGCCGGAGAAAATGCGCCCGCAGCGACTAGGTTGTAGCGGGAACGATAGCCACAACCACCACCCTCCATGAGCAAATACAATCCTACAGTGCGTTCAGCGGCTGCGAGATACGGAGATGTTATTCCTCGAGGAGAAGGACGTGGTCAGCAAGTGAACTTTAATGTTGAAGATGCAGTGTTGGAAAATCTTAAGGAAAACCCCACAATTAGTACTCGATGACTCGCACAGCAAGTAGGAACCTCATCTCGTACCGTACATCCATCTTAAGGCGCCAGCTGTTGCACCCCTATCATCTCAACCATATCAACCAGATCAACAGATTTTACCCCCGGATTATAATCAACTAATGCGTTTTTGCAGATGGTTTTTACGGCAATGTGCCAATTAAGTAGACTTTCCTGCTTATGTTTGTGTAACAGATGAGGCGACATTTACCCGTGATGAAGTGAATTTCCATAATATGCACATATGGGCCGATGAAAATCCTCACGCGATTAGGGAAACTCATTTTCAACATCGGTTCTCGGTAAATGTTTGGGCTGGCATAATTAAGTTCCTGTTTTAAGAGATTCATAATTACTAAAATTCGAGCTAAAATTTGAGCACAACACTATTTTCGTACTACAAAATCGATGCATTTTATTTTATTTATTCAAAAACTGGAAAAAATTGTCTTGAGACTTGCTATATGTTTCACACTAATAGCTATTTACATTTTTTCCGTAGGAAACGTTTGCTGCGTGTACACGTGGTGTGTATTAACAGGTTAAGCGCTGTTGCCACGTTGTGATGAAACTCCTCAATATTAATACTCGCTGTATTTAGAAAACTGTTAATCCTACGCCCTTGTAATATACAACTTTTTTGTTCATTTATCATTACTCTATATCATGCTGAAGTAATGGCAGTCAAACTTCTTACACCCTGTATAAAATAAGACCTAAATTTCCTAGTTCCATACTATAAGTTAATCCTAACACTAAATGTAAATGGTTTTATAAGAGAATTAAGATGAACTGTAAGAGTAGACTGCATAACACAGGAAAGGAATAGTAGAACCTCAATAATCCGAACCAATTTGTATAGGAATACCTGGAATTTGGGAAAATATTCGCCAAAATTGGGTGCGTCGGTGACATGCCTGTATCCGCGTTAATAGGGATCAATTTCAACATTTTCTCTAGAAATGGTTAGTTTTATTTAATGTTGTTCCATATTTTAATGGAGTTTGTTTAGTGCACGCAGTAGGCAACTACAGATGCTTACGGATGTGGTTTTGTTTGGGAACTCTTGCAGTAACAACAATGCATTTAAGATAGTAATTACTATTAATTATTATAATAAGAAAATATCAGTTTTTTTTAAATATCCATTTTTAACTTATCGTACAGCAGACAGACCGTTCCAGAGAAAATATTTTGATCCATAATTGAACTTTAATTTACGAAAAAAAAAACGCAAAACTTTTTCGTATAAGACTTTTTTATTACAAATATCGTTAGGAAGCTATAGTTTAATTTTTATATATTATATACGACACACCCTGTATAATTTATTATAATACTTGTAGCAACATAAATACTGAAAAATTGAAGTATTTTGTACTATTAATACATTGATCTTTTGTGAAAAATGTCATAAGAACCATGTAGGTATTGTAGGTAAATATCTTAATTTTCTTCTGTGAGTATTTTTACCTCAGCGAATTATTTATGTAGCCGATATAATTTATTATTTATAGTTATTGCTAAAATAATAAAAAAAACATCGAATTAAAATCAACCAACTACCAAGCGTNAGGTATTGTAGGTAAATATCTTAATTTTCTTCTGTGAGTATTTTTACCTCAGCGAATTATTTATGTAGCCGATATAATTTATTATTTATAGTTATTGCTAAAATAATAAAAAAAACATCGAATTAAAATCAACCAACTACCAAGCGTAAAATCGGTGAAAAATGAAAAATCGATGTAATTTCAAAGCTAGAATTTTAGAACCAAAATATAGAAAACGAATATGAACCTCACCTAAGTTCAGTCTTTAGGTATATATTTTATTGCAATACAATAAACTGTCGATGTCAGTTGTTTTGTAGAGAAAAAAAAAACAGATTTAGAAATGTTTGTCAGCCCGTTTTTGTTGCTTTTTGTTGTCCGTTGTGCNTTTTTTTTACAATATTGACTCCATTTCTCATGCCGCATCTATTCCCAAATTTTTTTGGATAAGTTGTGAATCACCCTGTATATTATATATACACAATGCAGTACACGCCACTGGCACTGGCGCGCCATTTGTTGACACCGGTTGTGTGCAATCTGACTGATCCTAGCGCCATTAAAATGTGATATTTGTTACGTATCATCATTCATAGAATGAGGCACATATTTTAAGTATCTTTAGTATACTTGATTCATCGTCTGCTGTCTATAAATTGATTCTGCGAGTTGTGTACCGCTGTCCTTGCTCTACTGATGAGAATGGAAGTCGATCGGAAAAGCGCCGCGGTCGGCAAGGTATCGCCGCAAATGATCGAACGTTTCGTATGGGTTATTTATTTTATGAGACTCTCGAGAGGTCGTCATCAGTTTATTGGGGAGATCATGTATGAATCAGGAAATGGAAAAACATTCCGAGAGCGGGATACAGTTTTCTTTCTTTATTTCTTCCGTTTTTTGCCTATATGCTTATAGGGACTACAAAAATATATTCACATGTATCTGATTTCTCTTTTGTAAAACAGAGTGTCGCAAATTAGTAGGTTAAGTCGTTAACTACAGGTTAGTTAGGCAAATAATTATGGTCTCATTATGTCATTTTTAAGTTGGGCGCCCTGTTTTCGAGATACAGTGTTAAAATTGAGATGTCCAAAATGATTTTATTAATGACTCCGTTGTTTTCTAACAGTCGATATTTTGAACGTGGTTATAAAATTATACACCGCCACAC